GCTCGTCACCGACGGGTTTGACCGAAAGAGGAGAGAAATCGAAAGGGGGGGGACGGGAGTGGGACAGGGGCGAGGGGAAACGGGACCTAAAGAAAGAGCAGAATTTGGTAACACTGAAGATGACGGTCAAAGACTGACAACTCAGCACTCCGCACCGAGACTCACTTTAAATTAACTTAAGAGACAAAGAAGCAACAGGAGAAAAAAAAAAAAAAGGCCTCCTTAGCCCACCGCTCCTGACGTTGTCTTCGGCTTCTTCTAAGACAGCAACGTTTGAGAGTCTGTAGAGTTGATCCCTGTTTTCAAACTAGTTATAGACTCAAAAGCAAGTGATGCTGTGATTTTGTTTCGGTTTCTTTTCTTTTTTCTTTTCTTTTCCTTTTCTTTTTTTTAAACATTGTTGCTGTCTTCTGAAGCTTCTAGTCCCAATGTCATATTGTTAGGTGGTGTTTCCAGACACTTTGCTCCAGTAACACAAAGGAGGAAGTTCTTCTGCGAGCAGGTTCTTCCCTGCTGAGCTAACAGTGACTAAAACTTGTTAGTCCTTAAGAGAGAGTGAATTATAAAATAGAGAAATAAGTACAGTAATATAAAGGAAAGCCTGAAATTTACAGGATGTGAACAGTGTTATGGTCCACTAATGGAGCAGCTGAATGATTGAAGTGGTGGGGTAGTGCATGTGCAAGACTAATAGAAAAGAGCCTCTATTATCTCTTCCCAGGGCAGTTCATGCATTTTACAGAGAACCACTGCTAGCGTAGAAGCTATCCCCAAATAGGCTCAGGAACTGAGATCCTGCTCCAGGACTCCCTTAGAGGCTAAGTACCCTATCTACAAGGCTGGCCATGCTCATTCTTTCACATGCTTTCTCCCTCAGGTCTGTAGTCCCTTCTGCATAGTAGTGCAAGCTTAACAGGAGGAATCCCAGGAACCTCCTTCTAGCTTGATATATAGCCTGGGGGAAGGCAGTTTCCTAGGAGCTGGGAAACATAGGCTTGAACCAGGTCAGGTAAGGAAGGCATTGAGGCTGGCCTCTTACACCCTAAACAAAGGTAGGGGCGTTATGCTAGTGTATGAAGGTGAAAAGTATAAGCACTCATTCTTCAGTCACATTAAAAAAAAGCACAAAACAAAAAACATAAAATCCCAATCAGTTCTCATGAAGAATAGATACAAGAACCTACCCTTAGAAGAAGGTCCAGTACTGTCTGTGCTGGCACTTGTCTATATCGCTGAATAAAGATATTAGCTTTGGAGAGAGCTGGCCTTTCAGATGCTCTCTGAGCTCAGATTTTTCTCTAGACTTTAGTGCTGGTTGTTTTGAATCTCTCTCTGAAATACCGAGTCCCTCCATGCATTACAGACATCAGACTGTGAATCTGAATTCCCTCCTTGGGATCTGAAGCCTAAAAGTTAGATGTTATTACTTTCTTTATGGAGTTCTGTGTCATTTATTGGACACATATAGTCCCAAGTGTGTGGGAAGAATGCAAAGAAAACATGTTAACTCACATCTCTTTAGTGATCCTGTTGCAGTCATTATCACCAGGGGTATTCCAGAGTCATTCTTTGTTCAATTAAATGGTGGCAGCAATACTGTAACCAGCATACAGATGAATCTTTGCTACGTAGCTGTATTAACTCTAATTAAGATATGCTGATTTAAGAGTAACCGAGGGCTAAAATGATCATAGTATCATGGAAATCAAATTACTGAAGAGAAGAATGAACTTCAGCTAGCAATAATGGGCACAATAATGTATGTAGGTGTAAATTTAAAACTTTGAGTCCAATCTTTGTTCTCCAGTATACATGAGTGAAGCCACTTAATTTGGCTCACTACTAGCTCTCTAGCACCTTAGAATTCTTTAGGAAAACATTTACAAATTTGGAGGTCACAAAGTTGCTATTATTGCTTGAGAAAGGTATGCTGAAGATCATTGCTAACTGAGGCCCTTAAATCCTCGTAGACTGTTGTGACTGTTGATAGCTATAGCAATCCATGGCTGTGGCTGAAGGAGTAAGAAACGTTTTGTACCACCTGTCATTATGAATTTCTCGTTCCTGAGAAGTCTAGAGCAGGGACATGATACGGGAAGAGCGAGGCAGCGAGTGAGCCGGCCCCCGCAGTTACGCAACGGCTACAACAAGGATGGGAGCCGGGCGCGATGCCCCGG